GAATACAATGTTGGAAGCACTTTTAAGATAAACTCATTATTAGTGATTTTACCACACATTGAAGTTCAGTGCTCAATGCATATCTAACAAGTAATATAGCAAAATAACAAATAGAAATTTTTCTAGAGTTATATTAGAAAATCTGCTCTCAACATTGTATGCTTCACACATTCAGCTACACATTTCAGGAATGGTTATATTTCTATCTGCTCTAGATGCTGAGATATCCCTCCTGTAAATTTTTAATGAGTCCAAAAATTGTGTTTTGTGAAAACAATGTTTTAGAGTCAACTTCAATGCACATGCAGCCCACATAGATATTATAAATTGACTTATAGCTCAAATATTCATTCATGAAATTATAAGCCTGGTAGATTCAGAAGAACAATAGCCATCGCCATTTTCAAGAGAATGAAGTTTTAGAAAGTTTTTTGGCTCCAAAGACCCATGTCCCCCCTTAACGCTATCAAGTTAAAATCATCAGTTAGCAAAGGTGATGCTCATTTACAAATTAAATTGACCGGCATCTTGTCAAGAACAAACCTCAACAGCCAGGCTATGCCAGCTTATTCTGCATAAGAAAATGTTCACTTGGGCAAGCGCTATTTTGGGCCAGATTCGATCTGAGTGCGAAGGTGCGTATATATTAGAGTGAACAATTGCGATTACTTCTTGCTGCCTGATTAGTGGCATGCATGTGGTGCTGAGTGTAAACAATGTTTGGCTAGAACAGCAAGCATTTGGATTGCCGCTCGGTGTTTCTATAAAAAATAGACTGAAAGGAATTATCCTAAAACTTTTGTTACATTCTGAAAATTTCATTGCTTTTAGCTCAGTTGTGTCGTCATCATATAAATATATATTGTGAAGTGTATTTCGTAAACATTACTTCATAATTAGCATGAGCACGAGGTGCTAATTTCATAATTTAATGTGGTGTAATTCCTTAGGTCAAGGACACTATCACGATTTCATTTTTAACACTGCGACACAAAGTTGTACCAATCACGGGTATTTTAGGCGACCTACCACACTTTGCGACAACATTTTATACCGTGTAAATAGATCAGCTTGAACTTTAGAATTTTACTTAAACACGAAGAAAGCACAATAAAATGCAGTATAGTTCTAAATTTGAAGCTGATATATATACAGGTATGTACCAACCAGCTCAACTCTTTACTCTTGCACTTAAACATTTCGATTCAGGTAAAATATATGTTACTGGTAACCAAAGGGATGTGAAGTCGTATGAACACGACGTTATATATGTTAATGTGGATGTTTTTCTTCTCTTGCGTCGAAATTAAAGGGAAACAAGCGGTTCTGTATTTAAGAAAAAAAACTTCAATGACCTTCATTCTACCTCCAGGATCAGGAATATCGAGATTATTTTTCAATTTGGTGCACGGAGGCTTCAGAAATTAATTTTCAAAGTACCGCCGAAGCCCCTCCTTCCCGGGGCGTGACGTCACACTAGGTGTTTTCGGAATCTCTGCTCTCGCGCATCTTCAGCGCCTGTCAAAGCTATGCACGCGCATTCTTGCTATTTTCAAAAAAAGGTCAGAAAGAGACATTACGACTGCCGTCATTGCGGGGAATATACCGGGCAAGCTTGCAATTGCACGCACTGCCCGCACGAATGACACGTGCTTGGCGGCCCAATGATCCTAGTATGACGTCAGGACTGGTCGGAGGTTTTTCGCGTTTTCTCGCTTTTAGTTGCATCTTCAGGGAAAACGAATGTGATATTCAGATTCACGGGATAAAAATACGCCAGAATTCACCTCTAACTCTTTTTTTTTTTCAAGAAGCGTTTCAGCTTCCCTTTAAATAACTGAATTTAATATTTTTGGCACGTAAAAACAAAAGTGAATTGCACGGACGATCGAAGAAACTATATAGTTAATCGTTTCACGGCGTAAATAGTGTATATTGCCAGAACAACGCGAAAAATATATTCTCAATTGAGCGGTTCAAACCTGTTCGAACCAGTTTGAACCGTTATTTTTGCTCCCCGGAACTGAACCGGAACCGAACCGAAAGCCGTGAACCCGAACCGGAACCGAACCGATAAAAATTTCGGTTCGACACTCTGCACCAAGGGCTCCACCGCAAGACCTTCAGGGGACACATGGACACCATGGTGCAAGCTTGCCAGGTAGCAGCAAAAGTCGCAAAAACAGCAAGTGTGCAAGGGATGAAAGTCCTGACCAGAACTTTTACAACCCCGTTGGAAACGTGGACATCCTTTTTGATGGGATGCGGAAGACTCGTGGGCACAACTCTAACATTGCAATGGAATGCATTTTCGAGTTCTACTCTAGCCAGGTACTGGACCACATTGTTTTCCCCAGGTACTGCCGTGGCTGGCAGAGGGCACCTGAACCAGATGATAACAGCTATAGTGACTGGGTTATGAACCCCAAGTACCTCAAGAACATCGACTGCAACGCTGGACAAATGGAAGCCAAGACAGCCCCTATCCTGTTCAAGAGGTCTCTAGAGAAGAATGGACCACATTACATGACCATTTCTACCGAAGGAGACAGCCGCACCTTCCGTCCTTTGATGCAGGAGGGCATTTATGGTTGCCTTGACATCGATAAGGACTACCTGAACCATGTGCACAAGCAAATCGGGGCAGCTCTTCGCACCTTGGTAGTGAAGAAGGTACAAGGGGAGTCTTTTGGAGAAAGAAGCTGAACCAAGACAAAATTTAAAAAGACGTTTACAAATTTTTGTAATGCGAAATTAGAGCGCAGCTCTTGGGGAGGAGGAGGGGAGGGTATGCCCCACCTCCTCCTCCTCCTCCATCCCCTCCTCTACCCTCCTCCTCTAATCCAGTTCCCCCGCTAAATTTAGCGGAGAAAATGATGTTACATGACTTAGTGTCACGTCAGCTATGAACAAATTCAGTTTCTCCGCTAGATTTAGTCGGAAAATTGACGTCACGTGACCTTAACACCAATTCAATTCCTCACTAAATTTAGTGGGGAACTGAATTGGTGTTGCAGTCACATGGTATCAATTTTCCTGCTAAATTTAGTGAGTTGGTTATGCCGACGCCGCAAAACCTGGAAACGGGTGTCTAAGAGCTGCGCTCTAAAAGATCACAAACTACTATGGATACGCATTGAGGACCCACAGGCACGACGTCCCAGGGATGAAAAAGAAGGTGCAGGCAACTTTGTTGCACGTGACATTGACAGACGAAGCCCCAGGCCACATTCACTGTCCTGAAGGTGACGATTCCTGGTGCTCCTACAACCGCGCACTGGCCAGCTACGAGGACCCACAAACACACAAGAACCCTCTACCAGGCTTCATTCACACAGCACTGGAGCCGATCTTTCAGAGGCTGGGCGACCAGGCCCTCTTGGAGCACTGCAGTGATGGCATGAGGCAGAACGCCACTGAGAGCCTACACTCGGTGATCTGGGGCCAAAACTTCAAAAGCACGCATGACTCTCTGCTGGCTGGACGCAGAAGTGGAGAAAAGAAAAAAACGCAGTCGGGTGTAGCCACGCGACTTCCAGCCATGAGCTTCCGTGCTCGTGTTTCAGTTTCAAGCAGTTGAGTTTTTTTTTTGCTTTATTGAAAGTATCCGTGACTCTGCAGCAAAATAATGATTGGGTAGTCTCCTAACACCATATTAAGTTGCCTAACAAAAAAAAAAAAAAACATTTTTAGGGTGTGTTAGTGTCCCTTTAAGAATATCTAATCAACACTTAGAGAGTTACTGGAACTGATCAAGCACCGAACAATACCTTATAAGACATTTAAGACCTACAGAAATGGTGGCTAACACAAGGATTGTTATCATACCAGTACAAAAGATTAGTGTAGTAACTGATCAAATTGATTTGAGTTCCACAGGGGTATTGAGATACTCAAAATTAACTAAAACTATCATCTTAAAGAGCAAACAGACTGTATTAACTTGCTTAGATAAAAAAAAAAAAAATCTCTTCCACTGTCTCCAACGGAAAACTGGCTCACTGTTTCTACTGAGGCACTCAATATGAACCAAGAACCAATCAAATAATAGGGAGCCAGGTAAGCCTCTAATTACCATGTATTTGCAATGGAAACTCATGGGTGATGAGCTTCAACGAAAAAAGCATTTGTCTAACAATGCAAGATTAACACTATACAAGTATTAACACAGAATGTGTTATGGGCCAACTCCTAGCAGTGTCCCTAATGCAAAGTCCTGCGGCACCGGAGCGTGACATGACAATTCACCAGAATAGAAAAGCGCCGGACACAGCGCAGAAGTCCTCATTTACAAACTGGTGTCCCTCCGACTGTGAATCCATTGCTAAACCAACCGCACCAGAAACAGGGAGTTTAAAATGCATCACAAGGCAGCAAACGCACCCGCACATATGGAGGGAGCATTTGGAGAAAACGAGATGCGAAATAGCAGGGGTCAAAGTCGCGGTGTGCGACTGCAAGAAACCAAGTTTGAGTTCCACTACTGTTTGGGCACATGCTTTGGCAGCGCTTTCTTTCAGGGACGCTATTTTAAACAAGGTAATGATGGGTTCCCCCCAAAAGTAGGTTTGGGAGTCTGTCAATAGGTGCAGTCCACGTGTGGAAAAGGTCCGTCCATTGGAGAAGATGCCACCCACAAGGCACACGTTAGCGAAGCGATCGCGCACTTATCACGGGCAACATACAACGCGTTCTCTGTTACCAGTGCCTTTGCCATTAGAGTGCTGGAAAGGGGAAACTTTTTTTTTCTTGTATCAGATTTTGTATTCTAATATTAGACTATAAATTTAATCTTGGAGAGTTTGCTGATTGGACACTACCCCAAGCATTATTCAAACTGCAACCAGTGTGATATAAACTGCTTACATACTTTTGGGGTCCTAAGGTCAACATGCAAACTACTGTTTCACCCATTATGTCTTCTCACCTCCACAACAATGTGCAATGAATACAAGAAAGTTAACGGCATACAATCCCCAGTGCACAGAGGCGTCAGATACCTTGAAAGGCTTGGCCTTCCGTGGAATGTTGTTGAATGACTGCATGCGCTTGAAGATGTCCCTCACTCTCGGCGACATGTCTTCCCTCGTGATGAGGCCTGCAATCATCTGGAATAATGTCAAAGGGGTCACGCTGTTTCAGTAAGACAAAGATTTCAACTCCTGCTTCAGTGACAAGGAAGTTAATGATATTATCAAACAAGCAAAACAAATTGGTAATGCCCTTTACTTCCCTGAAATGCAGTATTTAAAGAGTTATCATTTAAATTTGATTAAAACTAAATTGGTGTATAGGTCATGCAACACAGATTTTCCCCCTACATCTAGCTGGGAAATTGAAGTGGTGCATAGGTATGTGACATTAATTTTTCCGCTATGCTTAGCAGGGAAACTGAAGGCATTTAGTCTTATGACGAAAAACTTCCCTGCTAAATTTAGCAGGGAAACTGACGGTGCGATGTCACGCAGCAACAAGTTACCCACCAAATTTAGCGGGAAAACTGACTTCTCCTATGTCACGTGACATCAATTTCCCCGCCAAATTTGGCTGCGAAACTGAATTGGCGTAGAGACCTTTTCACCCTCCATTGCAAGAGTGCTGCCACCTTGGAGGCACGTGACGCGGCCGCCATAAGGTGGCTTCAGCTCGTCGCTCCACTCTCCTCTCTGCACCTTGGCAAAGGTGTTGTACACATGTTTTTCATCCCATTTTACCGCGTCTCTCGCCTTACTTCTATGGCGCACCGTGAATTCACGAGGGCGCCCATCAAACCATTCGGCCAATCTTGGCCGCGACACGATCACATGGTCGTGTTGCCGCGGGGTCGATCGCGATCTCGAATTCGGCTCCCGACGCGCCGCTTTCTCTCCTAGCCACTGGAGGGCGCTGCAGGCGCCCCCTGGCAGGCAAGGAGAAACCTCCTCGCCCATCGAGAGATATACTCGGTGGGGCAGGGGGCGAGAGGCCTCTAAGAACTTCGGACGAGACCGAGACGCAGGCACTGGCAGGCAAGTGGGTGGCGACCGGATCTAGGATATCGCGGGACGCGAGGCCTAAGGGCCTTCTTTGTGTTTGGCGTTGGTCTTAACGTGCGTTTGTAAATATTTGTGTAATGTCGCGTGTATTTGTAGTTTAGATTAAGTGTTTTGTAGAGTTGTATTTTATTGTACGAATAAACGGGGAGCGGAATCCCGCTCCCGTGAAAGAACCAGGCTGGACTCGGTTTGTTGACGGACCATTTGTAGGAAATCGCGTACCGCCGCCGATTCGCCATTTCCCACGTGGTCCGTCAACAAACCGAGTCCAGCCTGGTTCTTTCACGGGAGCGGGATTCCGCTCCCCGTTTATTCGTACAATAAAATACAACTCTACAAAACACTTAATCTAAACTACAAATACACGCGACATTACACAAATATTTACAAACGCACGTTAAGACCAACGCCAAACACAAAGAAGGCCCTTAGGCCTCGCGTCCCGTGATATCCTAGATCCGGTCGCCACCCACTTGCCTGCCAGTGCCTGCGTCTCGGTCTCGTCCGAAGTTCTTAGAGGCCTCTCGCCCCCTGCCCCACCGAGTATATCTCTCGATGGGCGAGGAGGTTTCTCCTCGCCTGCCACGGGGGAGCCTGCAGCGCCCTCCAGTGGCTAGGAGAGAAAGCGGCGCGTCGAGAGCCGAATTCGAGATCGCGATCGACCCCGCGGCAACACGACCATGTGATCGTGTCGCGGCCAAGATTGGCCGAATGGTTTGATGGGCGCCCTTGTGAATTCACGGTGCGCCATACTTCTTAAGGTGTTGTCCTGTGCTAATGTATGCCATCATTATGTGCACAACTTCTGCAGTTAATTTTGTAACGTGTTTTGACTAGTTTCACTGTCAGTGTACCAGATATGTGTGAGGGGGCTAGAGGAGGCACAGGAATCAGCGTTGGCCCTACACACATTGATTATGTAGAAGGCTCTCAGCATGAGGGCCAATTGCCCTATTACTTATGACAACTAAATTTTCTCATCGACAGTAGCGGAAAATTCTGAATAAGTATCACAATGTATATTCACGATTGTGCATTTAGGATCTTAAGAAAGGTAACAAGGATAGTCAGCGAAAAGAGCAACTACGTGTTTTTCCTAAAGGTCCCTTGCCTCGCCTTCAATAAAAATCTAATTGCTTTGGTAAAAATGGTAACGCCAACATAAAATGATTTGTTTGTTCATTGCATTACACCAATATGCGCTAGACGTTTTTAATAATGTTTGCAATAAAAACATTTGCCTAATCTGTTTATTTATGAATTTAAAGAAACTGTACATCTGCTTGGTTCCTAAATGCAGTCATTTAAGTGCTTCAACAAATTTCTTAAGACATATGATACATTAATTTATTTCAATTATCATAACACAAAGGTCAGTAATACCCTGGCAAAAAAACAACCGTCACATGCAGCATGAAGGTGCAGAGGGCCCGCAATATGTGAGGCCGAAAAGAAGCCGTCAACATGGAAGTCACCAGAGTGCAGAGCTGTCTACGCCAAATAGCACTTTGTGGGGCTGGTGACGCCGAAATGCAGAAAGCATGTCTACATCAACGAATAAAAAGTTGCCTAGACAGGTTAATGAAATGGTGCCTAGCACCCGGCTTCAGCCAAACTTGCCGGCCTATGGAGTTCTATGGCTTACTTTCATTTCATTTGGCGAATTTTATGCCAGGCAAACGTCACACTTCACTTGACAGGCCTGTCACTTATCTCACATCCTGAGTATGTCGTAAGCAAATGTCCAGAAAACAGCTGGTTTATCTACTAATGCCAATATTGTCAAATGCAGTTAATGAGTGCATTTGTAGGGCTGATGGTGCAAAACATTTCCCACCCGGCCTAGGACGGACTGTCAAAATATTTCTCGAGTGCTTAATTTCTTTACAGAAAACAGTCAGAGACACTGTCACTTCTTTTTTAAATTCTCTGCATTATTATAGAGGATTTTTCCAGTCTCTGAAGTTCACGAAAAGTTGGTGTCCGCAAAAATCAAATAGGGAATAGTGAACTCGCGACTTCATGTGTTCTTCGTGATTCAGCACATTGTCATGAAGTTGTCTATCTGTTGTTGTTTTTTCTTGTTAATGCTATGCATCTGTCAATTTGTTTTTTTCCTTTCCATTTGTGTATTCTTCCGGAACCTGGGGTCAGCGGGAATGGCCTCAGGTGATAAAACAGTTCGGTCGTTTTGCCGCCAGACCCGGTTGAAATTAAGGCCGAGCGTGACATGGTACATCCTGACTCCTAAAGTGTTTGCGAAAAAGTCTGCAATTAAGGCTCGAAACCACTTCATAGCTTTCAAAGAGGCTCAGTACCACTGTTGTACTAGTTGTGTGCCAACAATGGACACATTTGGATTAAGACATTAAGCGAAACGGGCATAAACCACCAACACAGCCGCAAGCATGCTGAAACCGAAACCAAACAAATTGAAGCCACTCAATGGTGGAGAGTCCGCCAGCCCCCTCTATCCGCTAGTCATGTAACTACGGAGGGGAAAAGGTCTATAAGTCCCGTGACGAAGATCATATGGCATCTATTTTGCCACTAATTTAAGCTGAAAAAATGAATTGCTGTAAAGGTCTAGTGACGTCAGGTCACGCAACAACAATTCTCCTGCTCAATCTAGCGGGGAAACCGAATTGGTATTTAGGTCATGCCAGGTCAATTTCCCCATTAAATTTAGCAGGAAATGCATAGACGGATGGTCAACATTTTAGAAGTAGCGGGTTCAAAAACTTCCCGTGTTGCACACTGCCCTACCTCAATCCACTCTTCCTGTTTTGCTTCACCTTTAAATACGGGAGACTTGACTCCCTTGCCCCCATATCTCTCTTGTTCGGTGATGCATTTGATGTGCTCCTTGTAGTCATCTCCCCTAGAAAAACAATCCAGTGAGCAGAAAAAAGTAAAATTTTATAGAATGCATCGTCAGTAGCAGGAGTTGTTCATGTAACCTAACCGCACATTGTGTCGCAACGAAGTAGGCTTGTATTACGAGAAGCACTGAATCAGTCATTCACTTGAATATGAAAAGCCACACTGAAGATAAAATTACTGTCCGATTAACTTACAACCCTGCATGCCCACTCTCTTAGACCCTGAAAGCTTAATTTCTCAGAAATAAAACATTTCCAACATAGAAGTCCTCCGGAAGTTCTAATATCAGTTCTTCACTGCCCGGAAATTTATGTTCTGGCAAGAAGTGCATCCTCAGTCTCTCGACAAAAAGGGGCAGGAAGGAGTCGGGTTTTGAGTAAATGGGACAAGCCATTAGCGATGAAGCTTACATTGTACATGAACTTTTGCTGACGAGGGCATGAAAATTACAGTTTCAAATTAACCAAAAAGACCAAAAAAACCAAAAAGTTTTTTTACCAGTAATTCTGTTTTGTTTTTTTGGAAGCTAAGCGCATCGGGAATGTCTCAATTTGCATAGATATGGCCAATATGTCAAATATAAGCAGAAAAAAAAATATGAACACAACACGCCATATTAAAAATTAAGCTAATCTAAAAAAACAGTTGATTCATATCTAACATGAATTGTGACACCTTGGGTACCAAGGTTTTATTTAATACAGAATGTGTTTTATCAGGCGATTTTCATTAATATCTGCAACGTTTTGCAGTAATGTTTGGCCGTAATGAAAACCCAACACAGAAAAGTGTAGTACCCATAGGGAACCATACCAAGACTTGAAAGAAGAAAGTCTCCGGCAACACTTGAACCCATTACTTGGAGATGGGGAGCCACGTGCTTTACCGACTGAACCATTGAGAGACGGTGTTTGCTCTCGCACGCAAAAGCAAACACCTTCGCGCAGCAAGCGAAGGCACGGTCGTGCTGTTTTGAAAATGTGCGGGCAAATAAGGACGGTTCTTTCATCCCTGTCACACTGCGCCATCTCACGGTGTTTTGTCAGAAATGGGAGTAAATATTTGACAGAAGCTCCGTGGCAAGGCGGCATTATTCAGACGCCTCTCTTCTACCGTGACCATGGCTTTTACGAAGCAAACGGCCGCAAAATCTGTGGAGATTATCGAGAATTTAGGAGACGGCAAAAGCAGAAGGAAGAGCCTTCACCAGGGGCCCCGCAAACAAACGCCGATAAGTGCAAAGCCTATCACAAGTTTAAATAAGGAAATAGGGGCCAACCAGTAGAAGTACATTCTCTGAGTACATATTTGTACTTTACTTCAAGTAAATCTTTTTTTTCTAATATAGATTTGAGGAAAGTGCGACTCCCTACTTCAAGGTACATTCCCCAAATTTTGTTTCGGTGAAATTGATCCCCTTTAGGAACAACGCGCTCATTTCATTTGTTTTCTCACTTAGCTCGAGTCCAGACTCTAAACAAAAAAAGGTGTATTGTCATGTGAAAATGTGTAACATCTTTCGAGACGTCATCCGGTCATTTCTCTGAGTGAAGTAAGTGTGACTATAAGACTGATACAATTAAGTCCCTTACAAGTTGATTGTGTTAAATAGTTTGTGTCACGAGCAAGAGTAAGACTACTACTCTTTTGGTCACATGACTGCACCCAATATTTGCCGCCATTTTCGAAAATAACATGCACCCCCAATTACCCCTGGGGCAATGCATACCGGTTTCCGAAAAGCAGCCCAACCGGAAATAATTATATTCCTAACGAGCGTGTTGGTAAGATGTACTAGATAACAGAAAGTATAAACAGAGAGAGGACGAAACACAGACGAGTACATTATAATTTCTATACAAATCGTCTAAATTTGATTTAGAACTGCTTGCTAGTTTGTGTTTTCCCTGGTTTCATTTTCTCTTGGGGGGCGTATCAATGCCACCACGTTATGTACTGCTGTATAGGGTCCATTTCTTGGCTGTTATTAACTTATCTTCTCTATGGGCCTCCAGCACTAAAGTTTAATGAGAAGGGCAGTGCCATGGTGCAGCGACATTTGCCATTATTGGGGCAGTAGCTATCCTCACTTTAAGTACAGAAACTTGGGATTCTGTGTGCACAGAAAAGTTAAAGAGGCTTGAAATACGAGTGATGTGAATCTCACTAGTATGCACTAGGAGCTCCACGTAAGGTTAAACCTCGGAGAAGTCATGTTAAAATAAAAATAAAATAAAAACGCCAGCCGAAGACTACTTGAGCGAACCTGTTGTATACAACTGTAAATTTTGGGCCACCGAATTGCATGCGCAGCCGAATGGTTACACGTCGAATTTGAATTTTGTTCCAGCCCACAAAGTTGTGTATTTGAATCTACCTAGATATTATTTTGCTTTTGCTTCTTTAGCTGTTTTATTTAACCTTTCTGGAAATTCTGCATAAAAATCCCGTAACTTATAATCACTGTACCATGTCATCAGCACTCTTTTGGTGCAGGAGTAACACAGCAATGCTAGCAAACGACAAAGTCGAGAGAGGGGCTGCTGTGTTCCCAGGTGCGAAGGGGATGAAAGCATTGAAAATTTGTTACGAGGCACGGGTGCTTCAGTACATAGTACAATAGACCTTATTGATTATTAGCGCCATCTCTCGGTGGCCACGGGTACTATCAGAGGCTCGGCGCCATCTCTGAGGCTTCTCCACCGTCCCCGCCACCCGCCGCAGTACAAAGCCCTCTCCCCGCATAGCATTTGTGCATGTTCCTCTGTTTTTTTTTTGACCGGGTGCGCTGCTGCGGAGCTGGTCCTAATGCCCATGTCCCACTAGAGCGACAGACAGAAACAAACGACAGCAACAAGCCTCAAACCAGAGTCTTTCGCAATTTGAGAGGCTTTGTAGAATAAAGAAGGCTATGCTCAAACACGAGCATCATGCACGCGAGGGTATCTTTGGCAGGCTTGCATTCGCTCGTGCTTACTTTACGAGCACCGACCGACTAAATGGCTGCCAAAGGTGCCATCGTGAGCATGCTGCATGGGTTTGAGGCTTGTCGCTGCCTTTTGTTTGTGTCTGTCACTCTAGTGGGACATGGTCATAAGACGTCGTAAGAAGCTTAAAAAACTGTCTTGTTTCTCTCGGTCGTCTTGGTTGCACATGTGTGAACGGGCCTTTACGGGCCGCGTTTGCAATAAAAGCTGCAAGAGGGTGACGAAAGCATAGATCATCTGTAAGCGTCTCCGCCTTTCCTCCTGCTTTCCTTCTTGCCCCGCGACAATGCAGCACATGCATGCTTGCAACCAATTGGCGAGAGGCGTCCACCAGTTAATTGCAAACATTCCCCATGGTTTGAGATGGACCCTCTCTTCAATCTAGGCTCTCTAGAGTGGCGGCACTGCCCGGTAAATGCTGGAGGCTCATTGGCTATGTTAAGGAATGGGGGCACAGCTATAACTACTGCTATAGGCCTAGCCTTTAACATGTGCTTTGCTGCTGCTATACAACAACATGCCCACAAATCCAGATGAAGCATTTAAAGTGACAGCATAAATCGGCTTGCTAACATATCGCGCTATGATTTACCACAGAGGTGCTCAAAGGTGGTGGAAGCATTGCGTGAAAATTTCAAAGAACAAACTTACCCGAGTAAAAAGTATGAAAATGACAACTGATTTTCCCTGCTTACGGAGCCGTTCTGCTATTTACGTATCCTAACTGGCGCAACAACCGAGAGATGGCGGCAGCGGCCCCGGCGCAAGCTTACCGCCCGGTTGCGCCAAAAGCAGCCAATGTGTTTTAATCAAAAATGGCACATGCTCAATAAAACACATTAACTGGATACATAACAAATCAAACTGACGGCTCGTCAAGCAATTTCAGCTACATGTCATGTGCTTCTGGTGCGACCAGGAGGTAACCTTGCACCAGGGCCGATGCCACTATCCGTTCAGTCAGGGGTGCATGGATAGCAGAGGGGCACTGTAGGTAGCGAAAATCAGTCGTCTTTTTTTTACTTTTCACTCAAGCAAGTTTGTACTTTGAAATTTTCATGCGAAGCTTCCACCATTTTCGGGCACCTTTATGGTAAATCCACGCACACTCCGTTACCAAGTCCATCTATGCGGTTACTTTAAACTTAGGCTTCATCCGGATTTGTGGACACACTGTGTATTGGGGCTTGGGGCTAGTAAAGCTGTTTCTGCCAGCTTTCGGAAATAAAAGGAAATAACATTATTAATATTATCACGAAAACAAAGCGGCTGTCGACTGTGTTGCCCTGCATGTCCCTCTCACGTCTTTGTAATTAATAGAAAGTTCATTTCAGTCGGCACTCCACAAATGGCTGCACTCCCAGAGTTAATTTCAGCACCGGCACTCCACAAGCGCATGCACTCGCTGCACCGAGAGAATCGAGCGTGCGCCAGAATGCAATCCTGTCATGGATCACTCAGGCAAGGCAGGTAAAGTGGAGACGACGGGGAATCGCCTGCCACTGATCTGGTACAATCTGCCATTCACACGAAGCAGAGCCAAAAATAAAGTAGATTTTCTGCTAGAAATCACGTCGCAGGAGAGACGGGATGGAGCGCGGGCTTGAATTGCGACTTTCTGCTATTTCACGAAGGGAGCAATCAACAACTCATACAATTTTGTTTCCATACAGTCGCTGAAATATACAGATGAGTAAAAAGGCTCAGGGCGAACGCATTAGCAGCCATGAGAATTTTCTCACAAGTGTACGAGCGAAACGTTATCGCCGAAATATGGTTGACTGTGGACTCACGAACGGGCATTTGTGGAGAAAGCTTGACCAGCAAAACGTGTGATACGTCCCATTAGCAGCGAGAAAGCTAAACACGGCGATATTAACCAAGGCTTGGGTAAAATTACTGTGTTTAGCATTTACTTACACCAGTTACTTTGTACCCTCATTCTTTTGTTCGAAAAAGCTCTCGATCTCACCGCTCTCATTAAAAATGAAAGCTGACACAGCTATATGCGGCCATGGACCGACATTGAAGGTGCCACGAAACGTATTGCTGGAGATTCCCAAACGGAGTAGTTTAAAAGCGTATTCTTTCAATGGTTCATGCTTAAAAAAACTGATCAAGCTTCCGGGCAAAGAGTATCAACGGCGTTATCTCCAGTGTAGTTATAAGAGATTGCTCTGTTTTCATTATTTCTTACTGTTGTTTTGTTGTCAACTCGTGGCGGAAACATAATGTAGACGTGTTGGTTGAGTTGAGGAATACCGAGACAATACCGTAATATCTCGAGAAATGGCCCACCTAAAATTGAAAGCAAACCAGGTGAAAATAAAAAGTGGGCTAACATTCGGCGTTCGATCAAGTTAAAAATGCTAGTTTTAGATTTTGTGACCTGCAAAAGTTGCGATTGCAGGTACCAAAGAATTAACCAAAGACAACTGTATTTCCCAGTAGGCAATGTCAGATTATCTCCCATTGCTGCTAAGTAGCACTATTTCTGCCGAGGTCAAGATTGGCCAGGGACCTGCAATTACTAGAAATAAAAAACCTTTCAATGTTTTCGAAGAAAAGAAAATAGTAAATCGGGCCAAAAAATGGGGTGGGTTATCTTTCGGGGGTGGGGCATCCCTTGGGATATTATGGCAAGGTGCAGGTGGGGCGAGGGACGGCGTACTCTTTCTTTCAACTAGCAACAGTACAATAAAGCCACAGCAATCTTTTTTGGAATCGCACCACATGGGGTGCGCGATTCCAAAAAATATTGTTGTGGCTCTATTGTACCGCAGCTAGTTCAAAAAAAGTGTATGTCATCCCTCGTCCCACCTGTCTTATTCTTTCGGTGTTCCCCTCCTCCTCCGCGGAAGCATACGTCATCGGTAAATCTCTCTATGAAAATCGAGTTATTTAAGTTATAACAAATATAAACATTACAGCGACCGCACTGTTTCATGTTCCCACCCTTCACGTTGAAACGCAGGGTGCTATTTTCGGTTTGAGGTGGGTACTCTTGCTACAACATAGATGGCGACAGCATTGGTTTGCACTCGGCAAGTTCATTCGCGCAGCACTCTGCGGATGCGATGCATTCCGTGCGTCCAGCATCCAGTGCGTGTGAGACAAACTTGCTATATGTGCCGGGCAGGGTTCCAGAGCGCGCCAACTTCAGTTGATCATCAGCGCCAAGGCCAAACGAGGAAGCACTGGGAAGGCTAAAATCGGCAGCTCCGCCGGCGTGCCCTCATGAGATCACGTTATTACCAACTCCAAGTGTTGTGTTGATGCACACTAATTTAAAAAAGGATTTCACATCATTGTTATTATTCTGTTGAGAAACAGAAAAACTAAATTTTTATGAGAGAAGCACTTGACGGTCAGGTGGATCTCAGAATGTATCGTTTGTGGGCAACCCCCAAAACTTACCAAAACTCCTTATTGCAGTCAAGACAGGTAAGGACTTCGCAGCTCCGACACTTCGTGAAGTAATGCTTCTCCACTTGGTTCTTTTTCAGAGCGTCGCCGCAGGCATTGCACGCGAAGACCACCATGGTTCCCCCGAGAAGGCCGCTACACTCCGGTGAAAATAAAACGCAAAAGAACACACGTTAATACGAATGAACGATATTTCATCGCCATATGTACACGATGGCATTGCATCTATCGTCAGCAGATGCGGCGCCGCAGGCGTTCACGGTATGGGCTATCTGTCTTTATGCGGTGCAGCGGCTCTCCCGAACCGAAATAAATAATACCAATGCGAATACAACAGTCACTGAAAGAGTGAGGAGGGCAGGGAGGAGCTTCAGTAGTCCCAGATCCAGCATAAGCTTCCTACCCTCGACAAAGCTCCGGCGTCTAGCAGAGCGTGCACGCGCAGCCAAAGCACGGCAAAACCTCACGAGCGCGTGCTGGAGGCTGGGCGTTTGAGAGAGACGTCCTGCCATTCTCAACTTGTCAGCGGAATACAGACACGTGGGATCCCTTGATGCAACGATTACGCTCTTTTGATCGGCAATTCAACGCCGACTTGATGGGACGGCAGCACTTTAGGTCACATATATCTTATGACAAGAGAGAAAACGGCAGTAAATCCGTCCTTACCACGCTAGCGCGATGATATTTTCAACAGACCAAAACTTGAACAGCAACTAAAATTCGGAAAAGTTCTGAAAGATTCGGAGCGTTGCTGGCGTTGCCATGGTTGCCAAATCACGTTGATGTGTGTTTCAACTTTTCGTGATATTAAATTCACTAAATTCCACAAAGTGCACAAAATAATATTGTAATATAATGTCACAGTAATAAATAGAATGTTCCGCTTTGTTTATAATATTTCAGATGTTTATCAAAAACGGTAGCCAGACATCGAAGGAAAATTGGTTTCGGTTCCGGATTACGACCCAAATAAGCATGTTTGGTGGACGCACATGAAAATACAAGCGCATGTTTTCATTGCCGTAAGAGATTGATGCCATACGTGCTGTTCGGTACAGACACATTTCGTGCCCATATTTAGTTAGTGTTCGTTTCCGAACAATGAAGTTGCGTTGGCCACCCCTGTGTTGTGTTTCTTTTTCATCGAATAAAGAAACGACAGTACCGGCGCCGGTCAATACCACCTAGAACACAAGGCCTGCGCGTTTCCTCCTCTAAACGTCATCACTAGTAGATCCCCTCAGCGCCCCCTAGCTAGCCCGGATGAGCGACATCGTCTGCTACATCGTCTGCTCCATCGCCTGCTTCAGTGGTTTGTGTAACAGATAATGAAACAGATGCTCACGCCGAGTGTCTCTTGCAAATATCATACGATGAAGTTAGACGTTCACGTGGAGCGTCAAATGCATGAGCGAAATTGCCTTACTGCTGCGCGAAGGGCTGAAAAGCCCTTCGTTGGACGCTGGACGCTGACGCTGGACGCCATTTTCGAGGGCGCTGTTTATACCTCGGGTAGCTGCTTCGAAGCGTTCTACCCACTGATCTCTATGTCTATTTGCTGGATCGCGTTTGACCAGCTCCTCCTATGGACCGGAATGCGGTCACTGGCGGCCATCTTTAGGTAGAGTTATATCATCTCTAGCCATCATAGTAATATGGCGGACAGCGCAATGGCGGCAGGCTGCCATAAAAATAGCCGTAGATCTAGTACACTGTACCGTGGGTGACATTTCGTGCTTGATTGAAGTTGTTCGATGAAGCAGATTCTTGAAACCCGGCGTGAACGGTAGCCTCATCTTTGAGGACCCGGCAAAAGTTCTACGAAAGCGCAGCACCGGGGGAAAGCAGCGCAGCTCGCATCAAAAGCAGACTCCGTACCGTCGTCTGCTTTCGATGCTTCTTTCGATGCGACTTTCGATACGTGCTGTGCTGCTTTTCTCCCGGTGCTGCGATTTTGTGAAACTTTTACCAGGTCCTCAAAAACCGGACTACTGTTCACGCCGGGTTTCAAAAACATGTTTCGTCAAATAATTTTTATCAAGCACGCAATATCACCCACGCTATTTTGACCGCAGCCTGCCAACCCACCTGCCAAAACGCTATATGCCATGGATGGATGATAGCGGCTGCAGCAGCTTACAGTGGCTAGAGGTGATATAACTCTACCTAAAGATGGCCGCCAGTGACCGCATTCGCGGAGCGGGCAAACGCGATCCAGCAATTGTCATAGAGATCAGTGGTTCTACCGCAGAACGAGCGCGCGCTCTAGAAATGCGCGTCTCAAAGCCAGGAGCGCGTGCTAGCTCGCGCTCCTGGCCGAGGGAGCGTTCGCGTGCACGTCGCAAATGCACTGGAAGCTCGCTAACAGCTCGCGCTCAGCAGTCACGCACACAGCTGCGGCCGCAAGTGAATGCGACGTAGTTGCGACGCGGCCCCTACTCTCGTCAAGCTTCGGGGTGTTTGCCGCTTGGGGCGGGTCGGGGATCTACTAACGAAACGTCATGCGCAGGCCTTGTCTTCTAGGTGGTATTGCGCCGGTACGCGGTCGAACTTGTGACGAGCAACATTCATCTCGCTCTCGCGCTTTACAGGTACAGGCATACGCAGCTCTAGAGAAGGAGACTAATCATTTCCTTGCCTGAATATATATTTATTGCGCGTTGCGCCACAGCGTTTCGCTCCGTTTTATCGATCACCGCGAAACCGCACAGAAAGCGGGACCAAATGGTTAGGGTCAACCACACCGATCAGCTCAGCTCGACCTGGGCGCGTGCCAGGGTTTAGAATGACAGTACAGTACATACCATACGTTGATATAAACAAGACGAAATCTGGTTATATGCGCAGTAACAGTACCTAAAAAAAAAAAAAAAAGACACAACTGACCGCATTCGCGAGGTTTACGACAAGGTTCACGCTGCCGTCTGCAACCGGCGACGAACCTGACGAATCTGCCGAATATTCGTCTTGAAAAGTTCGGAAATTTCTGAATCTGTCCAAATCCGAATCCTGGTGATTCGTCCCATTACTATTTCCAACGCAGCGGGGAAAGTTGGGCTCGCTCCAACTCCTTGCGTCGTGAATGACACGTGCGTGCGTCCTTCCGTCGCTATGGCAACTGACGGTTACAGACCTTTGCAACGGTCGTTTCGTTTGTTCCGGTCGTTCCGGTCGCTACGGGCGCATGTGTGTGAACGGGCCTTCATTCGCGGGCACCAACGATCTCAGGATTTCCTGGGACCACCGCGGCCCAGCTACAGCACGGGTAGCCGGAGGCAACCCGATGGGATCGGAACCTCGTAAAATGCGTGGCCCGGGAAAGGGAAGAAGAGGGTTAACAATCCGAAATCGGCGTTCCCAGCATTTTTTTTTTTTTTTTTTCCTTTGTGGGTGGGGGCGAAGGGTGCCTCAAAACCCTCAGTGTTTTTTTTTTTTTTTTCCTTGTTTTTGCTTTTAATGTTTTCATTTTTGTGCACGGCGTTCGGCTGGTAAACTGTCATCGGCCCTGCGGCTGCTGCCTCGAGACGCAACTTGGTGTGCACCGAATGGTCCTCTCCTGGGAGACGATGAAAGGATGAGTCGCCGTTTGGACGAACACCAGCCTGGGCTGAACTCCTCGTCTTCGGGCAGCGTATTCTCCGGCCGGAACCACAGCTCGGGGAGCCTCGTTGGACGTCCGCGACGCCACCGAGGACGCCGGGGTGCAGTTCTCAGTGACATTGGACTTCCAGCCCGCATCGCTCCGGGAGGGCTGTCGCAGCTGGGTCACAACCACAGTCCCTCTCCAGTGCACCACTCCATGGGGGGCAGTCTCATGGTGGCCAGGCACACTGCTCAAGACCTCGTTGCCCCGGAGGCAGCCGCCAAGCCGAAGTCGACACAGTCTACTGTGAGGTGTGCGGTGGCCGCGTACCCCAGTTTCGGGCCAACTGATAGACCTCAGTGAGGACGACCCATGGGACCAGTGGTGTGTGTTTGCGTGGGGGGAGGGGGGGGGGGGGGGGGGGGGGTCTCCAGGCCAAACAAAGCGACGGTGTTCCCGAGCAGCCTAGCCGTACGTCTGAATTCCGACGTACTTCGATTTTTAGGAGAGGGGAGTATGGCGCACCGTGCATTCACGAGGGCGCCCATCATACCACTCTGCCATCTTGGCCGCGAGGCAGCTATGTAGTTGCCTCGCCTCGGACACGATCACATGGTCGTGTCGCCGCGGGGTCGATCGGGATCTCGAATTCGGCTCCCCGAGACGCAGACAAGTGGGTGGCGACCGGATCTAGGGTAATCGCAGGACACGAGGCCTGGGGGCCCTCTTGGTGTTTAGCTTTGGGCTTAACGTGCGTTTGTAAATATTTTGTGTAATGTCGCGTGTATTTGTAGTTTAGATTCAGTGTTTTGTAGCGTTGTGTTTTCTTATGCCAATGGACGGAGCGGAATCCCGCTCCTGTGAAAGAACCAGGCTGGACTCGGTTCGTTGTCGAACTATACGTGGGAAATGGCGAATCGGCGGCGGTACGCGATTTCCTACACTCTTTACACTTACTTTCCAAACAATAGTAACCCTGGTAAAGTTACAAGTTATTTTCACTAAGCAGTAATGAGTTACAGTTGCAAGTTATTGAAAAAAATTAACTAGTTGCCGGTAACGCGTTGCTACAGTAACTAGTTACTGCCCAAAGACTGGGTAAAACCGTCTGGGTGTATAATAGGGTGCCCGCCTGAACATAGCAGGCTGGCTCACCAAGAACCAAATGGTGCTTCGACAACCAGACACAGAAATACAGGCGAAAATGCCGCGATTCTTTGATGTCTCGACGACCACTGTGAGAGCGGTGCTTCAACACAGACCGCAGTGCGATCTCTCCCTTGACTAACTGTGTCGCCTGAAGGCCGCCCTTTGCCTTGCAAGTTAGGATATTTAATTCCTTTGGCTTGCTCGCACCGCAGGCAGTCCTTCGTTCAAGAAGGGCTTTGGTCTCGCACAGACCATCTCCTCGCCTCGTGCTTCGGCTCTCCCCACAGAAGCAATTACACGATCCTGGTGGTTGCTTAGACCACCAGGATCGTAAAAAAGAAGCTAGAAGAAATTTTTGAGTTATTTGCGAAACGTAAAAACTGCTCAAAACATAGGCAAAACAAAGCCGGCTGGCTGAGTGGACAAAAACAGTGCACTGCCCGTTACCCCGCATGGCCCTTTAGCATGGCCAACCCGCAAGTGCCGTATGGGAGGGCCCCAGTAAAACGAACAAGCAGGGAAGTGACGACGTCTCCCTGACTGTGCTATGCAAACCGCCAGCGCCGTTTTTTTGTTTTTTTTTTCTACAATAGTTTGGAGGTGCCGCGTCGCCCGCGTGTTACTGACACTTTGCTACACTTCGTTATTTTTTTCGGGAATTTCGGGTGTGAAGCTTGTGCCGGAATTTTGGAGGTTGCCGGCCGAAACAAAAACAGAGCCACGTGCTTCCCTTAGCCAAGTACGTGGCTAAGGGCAAGCTACGTACCAACGGGAACACAGAGAGGACGGGGGAGGGTGCAGGCATTTGTTCAGTAGGCCTTGAGCCAAACGCACGGGGGCTCAGCTTACTGCCCAGTACCCCCTGGAAAATGTCAGCGGGTGCTCAAGCCCCCGGG